TCTTTCTCCACTTTTATTAGTTACCTTTCTTGTGACTGACGAAAAGCAACTTAAAGAAAGAAGAGTTTATTTGAGTTTGGGGTGATACTTCCACTGTCCAGAGGGAAAGGCCTGTCAACTAGCTAGGGCCTGTCAACTTGCCTGGGAAGGCCTGGTGGCAGGAGCCTGAGGCAGGTGGTCCCCTTGAGTCTGCAGTAAGAAAGCAGAGAATACACTGGCGGTAGGGCAGGGCTATAAAACCTTAATGCCTGCCCTCAGTGACCCACGTCCCCAGTAAGGTCCCACTGCAAAATGGTTTCCAAAACAGCGCCATAGTCTCCAGGGACTGTTCGAACACAGGAAACTGTACAGAACATTACATATTAAAGTACACTGTACCTGAAGCTTAGATTTATGAAGCATAGTTTGCTTAGACAGACCCTGCTGGTCGTTAGTGTCCATGCACACATGGTTTCCCCAGGAATCCACAAGAAAACAAGAACAAGCGAAGCAGTTTAAGGACTGCAAGATTTTCTTTTCCAGAGTTTTCAAGGGGGTCCCTAGGGAACAAACTGTCCAGTTTATTTCATTGACAATTTGAAAAACGCCACAAAGAAATGAAGCATATGATCAGTCAGACAAAAATGAAAGTTGACCACTTTGCTTCTTCTCATCCTAGAACAGAGGGCAACAGCACAAAGCAGTGCAGTTATCATCACTGTGATGGCCTGCCTCAGGCCAGTCCATCTCCTGAGTGGCCTGAGCATACAGCTGCTTCTCTGGCTGGCTAAAAGCAGAACCTCTGGGGCTGTGATTCTGCATTTGAATCAAGCCCTTGTGTAGTCTCATTGTTGCTAAGGTTTGAGAACCATTAGTGTGGCTGACTCCAATGAAATGGTTCTGTTGTTATGGTTTCAACTGTAGATCCAGGCAAAATTTAGTCTTTGGAAAGATGTCCAATGTAGCAAATAAAATGAAATTTCAGGATGTGGTTCCTCTTTGTTGCCGGCTCTTATCACACAGGACCAATTGCTTATCCTCCCATAGGTTTGTGTTTTTGAATCTCACAGCATTTGAATGTTCAAGAATCTGTTTTTCTTAGAATACCTTTGTCCTGTCACATTCCCATTGTGAAGGAATGGAGGACTCTTTGGGTCTGTCTTGAGTAGACACTCTTCGTATTGCAGGTATAGGCTGCCCATTTACTATCAGTGCTGAATGTCTCCTTCAGACCTCACCAGCAATTACGCCATGAGCCTCTTAGACTCCCCTATCAATATCTACCCCTTCCTGCAGCTCTCCAACCACACCAGGAGGGCACTTAAAGGAAAGGCAGTCTGCATGTCAGCTCTGGATTAAGTAAGACCTTCAAAGAGACATAGTTGTAGACCATTTGCCTAGGCTCCAGAACTGCTTTATTGAAATATGTCTCATTATCACCACCTCACCATTCACTGAGGGAGGCTCTGCTCAGTGACCACAGCCTGCTAGTGAGTTTGTGTAGCTTGCTGAAGATATTACCTGAGTTACTCAGGGCCCCCTTGAGCTACTGACAAGGGAATGTTCTTTTTCAGAGCTAGCCTGTGTTTCTCTAGAGGGGGAGTATATTTAACTCCATAATCCTATGTGGCTTCAGTGGCAGGGAAAGTCAAAGCCAAAGATTTAAGTAGGTTTTATCAATTATTTACGACCTGTGACAGCTCATCTTCATGGAGGGAGGCGAGAGTATACCCCCTGAGAATGAGCTCACTTCTTTCAGCATCCCTCTGGGGTGAGAGGCAAGTGTGCTGGTGTAGACAAACAAAAGGATTTCTAACCACTGTAACACTTTCTATGGTTGTTTTTAGTGATATATTTTCCTCATACTTTTTTCTTTAATTATATGTAATGAAGTATTTAAACTCCAAGTTTGATATAAAACAAGATTTAGGGAAAGGAAGTAAGAACAGCAAGAACTCCTGCCAAGCCATTTCTGGGAAAGGGACTATTTTGTCATATTTAAAGGCATGTTTGATAATCATCTCACTGCAACATCCGAGGGGTATCCAGCCTGTCTGCGTCTCCAGCATTTGAGAACAGTTGCTGATGTGCCCCAAGCCCTGGCCGTATCTGGCATCTGTGAACAGGCATCTCAATAGCTGTGTCTTTCCCAGAGGCTCCTTTTCTCTTTGCCAGTGTATGGGCAACAGCAACCTTACAAGCCTTCAGATGGGAGAGCGTGGGGTGCATGGAGTGTGCTGGGCTCAGGTCTTTGATGCCTGCACATTTGGAAGTCAGCTATGGGCTCTCCTCAGGGTAGGGGATTCAAGAGTACGTCTTTGTTGTGGTTTAAATCTAAAAATGTTTCCAGAGGCCCTTGTTAAAGGCTAGACTACCAGGTGGAGACTCTACTTCATCAACACACTGATGGATTCATAGCTGAATAGACTATTAGGAGGCAGAGCCTGCTTGGAGGAATTAGGTCATTAGGGTGTGTCTTTGAAGGGTATATTTTGTCCTCATCTCACCCTCTTTCTTTTTGCTTCCTGGCTGTTATGAGGTGAACAGCTCTGCTCCATTTCTGTCTGCACCAATGTGATCTGCCTCACTGCAGCCCACAGGCACAGAGCCAAGTAATCATGGACTATGAGTCAAAGGAAATCTCTCCTTAGGTTTTACTCAGGCATATTTTCACAGGGAGAGACGACACAGAGTCCTCCACTTCCACAGATGCTCTAGGCATACTTCTGTGTAAGTCACTAAGCAGTTATCTCACTGAGCAGTGTTTTAGTTTTGCTGTAAGGTAAGGATAACACTTGGTAACACATTACCCATGGTAGACTGCACAGACAATGCTGTCAATCATACTCTAGGTAGGTGTGGTTCTTGTACCTCAGGACTCCTTCTTTCTAAGTCCAAATGTAGCCTCACAGCTGTGACTGGAGTGAGCAAGAAAACAAATAAGTACCGAGCCAACTTCCTCCCCTCTGTATAGGCTGGGCTTGGTTTATTAAGTGGGACTGAACACTGAAGTCCCAGCTTAGTGCCAGGGATGTGAAGCAAAGTTCTGACTGCTATGAAGCCGCACTGGGCATAGAGATGGGTTCTGTCAGTTTCCAGCTTTGTTCATTGTGTCCAAACATTGGGTAAGTATCTGGGAGTGGCTGCTGTGTCCTTGTGGTGGTTAGAGGTGGGCAGGAGAGGGGACCCAGGGAACACCTGCTTGCCCTAGCATCTGAACCCACGCTCTGTCTCCAGCCCCCAACATAGAGAGGGTGATATAGGACACAATGAGGATGGAATTGGGCATCACAGACAAGGGGCACTTGGAAAGCTGCAGACATGCATGGTTTTCTTCCATGGCTTAAGAGAAAAAGAACTGCCCAGAAGACCAGGCAGAAGGAGGGATGTTCCCTTTTAACCCAGCAGAAAGGAGGAAGGAAAGGGGAAGAAAAGAAGGAAGAAAGGAAAGAAGGAAGGAAGGGAGGGAGGGAAGGACAGAGGAAGGAGGAAGGAATGAAGGAGGGAGGAAAGAAAGAAGAAAAGGATGGAGGAAGAAGCGAGGAAGGCCCTAAAGTGACAGGGCTTCCCTCAGGACTCCTCACCCACAGGAGTGACAGCTGATGCAGCATGGCAGCTCCCTAGAGTTTCCTGTCAAAAGCATAGTAACAAGAAGGCATGCTGCCATGGCCGCTGGTGTCATCCTAGACTTCCAGATAGCTTGGCTTCCCAGAGCTTCCAAAGCTGCATGTGTTGTTAGGTAGCAGAGCTCAGAAACCAAAACACCTGCACTTCATGCAATCTGGGTGAAAGCATATATGAGTGGTCTATGCCATGGATCCCTCTACAAACCACAGAGATGTGCACAGATAAGCAGAGAGGAAATGGTGTGGAGGCCAAGGACAGAGTGCATAGAAACAGCCCACAGAGCCCTCTGAAAGGACAGTGTTCTCTGCAACAGGTCAGGAGGCCAGCCTGGGCTCCTCAGTGGAATCCACTTCTTTGACTGAAAGATGTCACAACTGTCTTTAGGATGTCCCCAGCTATCAGATCAAAGTCTTCTTATTTGGGGCTAGACGACTCTTCTTACCTTTCCCAAAGGCAGCTGAAGTTAATAAAGAACATCTGTATTCACTGGGTTCCCCCCCCCCCATTTATGTGACAAATATGTGTGAGAACTTAGAAGGAAGGTTTATTTTGGCTCCTGGTTTCAGAGGTTTGGGACTATGGTCAGTTTGCTACAGTGTTGTGGCCTGAGGGAGGAAGACCATAATGGCAGCAAGAGCATATGGGAGAACCAGGTGAGGGGGTACATATGCACAGTCTCAGCACTGGAGAGACTGGGGCAGGAGGGCTGTAAGTTCCAGACTACACTGGACTGTATAGCGGGAAGGAAAGAAGGAAGGAAACAAGGGAGGGAGGGATGGAAGGAGGGAGGGAGGGAGGACGGGAGAGAGGGAAAGGGAAGGGAAAGGAAGGGAAGGGGAAAAGGAAGGAGCCAGAGACAAGTTCCGTCTTTCCAAGGCACACTCCCAGTGACCCACTTACCCCACCTAGACTTCACAACTCCCATAGTTCCACTGCCTGCCAGTGTTCTGTTCTGATTTTCAGTCTATCAGTGAATTAATCTATCCATGAAGCCAGGGCCCTCGTTCAATCACTTTCCCAAGGCCCCACCTCAGAGCACTCTTTAACAACAGAAGTCATTGAAGTCTTCCACGGCTTCTTGGTGCCTGTGGCAGAAGGACCTCCGAAGTAGTGGCAGTCATTGCAACAAGCCTGCTCCATGATAGTTCGTGGAACTGTGATTGGAAATGGTCTTCTATTCTTTGCCTCTCTTAGTTTCAAAATAAAATATTGTTGAGAACTCTTACAAGTAGAAAACGCCCCATCCAAGTGTTTTACCCATGTGTGTGTGCAGGCAAGGGTTTCCCAAGTCTTGTTTGGTGGTTTCTAAAATGCCTGCAGGGAAAGTTCTGTCAACTCACCAGTACGTTCCTCTTCCCAAACTGTGAGTGAGCATAAGTGTGTGGAAGGGGTGGCTAGCAGTCTTCAGTGGCAGCTAGTCTCCACCTAGAACACACATAGACACAACCACTGCACAGAATGAGTGAGGCCAGCACAGTGTGACTGAGCACCAGCACCCCAACAGCAAAGAGGTACAGGGTTTTGTCACAGTAAGCCTGAGGCTGCTGGAAAGGGGGGATAAAATCAGGCAGGTACACAGAGAAGACCCAGTAATTTCCCAGAATGAACCAGAGGAAGAGGAAGAGGCTGAGGATGAGGTGAATGTAGTATTTGTGTGCATTCTGCCTCCAGGGGTATTCATCATCGTCATCATCATCGATCACCACAGCCTTGGACAGAAGCCGCCTCATCCTGGTGGAGTCGTAGAGCAGGAGAGACACCTGGAATGTGTCACAGAGTAGGGTTCACAGGGCAGAGCAGCAAAGTAGACAGCAGAAGAGGTGGGGGAGGGAGGGAGAGAAAAGGAGGGAGGAAGAGAGAATGAATTTCATATTTTGAAGAAGCAGAAATGACAACAATAAAATTGGAAGTCCATGATCAGCTTTGCCCTAGAGGCGATTTCCTATCAGATGTGGGAATTGGTTAGGATAAGGGTTAGCTGACCTAAACTTACCCCTGTAGTGAGATTTGAACCAACTTTGTCTTCTATTGTCCAAGCACATTTGCACTCCAGTGCTGGATAAAGTACTTAATATAAACTGTCATGATTAAGTTTCCCTCAGTGAGAGGTATTAAGTTTATACACAGTAGGCTCCAAACTGAATTCTCATCAGGCCTCAAAGTCAACAGCATTTCTTTTTCTGAGTGGGAGAATTTGTGGGTGACTTTGATTTTCTTCTTGGTGTTTATCTGTGTTCTTTTATTTTTTTTATAATGGAGAGCTTATGAAAAAATAACAAAGTCAAAGTAAAGTAGTCTAACAGTGGCATGTGTGACTGACGGTATTTAAAGCTTATACTAATATGTAAGCTCTGTGCTAGGATCTTGATTTCCTAGATGAGGAAATCAAAGCTCAGAGAAGTTGAGGCACTCCAGTGAGTCCACAGTGAGTCAGAGAGATGAGCATCAATCCACCCTCCTGACCACTATCCATACCACTCTACCTGGTACTTAAATCAGAGTAGCTCTCTCCTAAGCCAGGAAGGCAATCCTGTGGTCTACCTGTGCAGGTTTTCCAGGACTAAGACCCACAGCCTGGCTGGAAGGCAGCATGTTTTCATAGAAAAAGTAGTGTGAGGCCCGGAGGAGTCAGAGGTCCAGAGCCGATCTTTCTAGGAAGGGCTGCCTGGTTCCTTTCTCCTCTACCAACCTTTTGAGTGTGAGTTAGCCAGAGTTGATCTTTTGGTTTTTATATTGAAAGAATCCTTCCTAATTTATGTACCTGCCTTAAAGGGATGTTGTAAGGACTGAATGAGTTCCAAAGAGGACACAGAAGCAGGTGCTGCTGGTGGGAGTGACTGACACCAAGAAGGCAAAGTGGGATAAGGCAGAATGTCTGTTAGAAAATGGCCAGAACTTCCTTTGAAACTTATTTCAGCATGGCCCTCAGTAACAGATGCATTTCACAACACAATCCAGAAACTGGGTGATTGTGAGTCTTGATTTATTTATTTGAATTTTTAATTTTTGAGAAAGTGTCTCCCTGTAGCCCCAGCTGGCCTGGAACTCACTATGTAGACCAGGCTGGCCTCAATCTCAGAGATCTACCTGCCTCTGCCTCCTGAGTGCTGGGATTTTTATTTATTTTTAAAACTTAAAGATCTCCCCGCCCCTCTTTCTCTCCTGTATGCTGTGTGTGTGTGTGTGTGTGTGTGTCTCCCCATCCACAAAAGCCAGAAGAAGGTGTTGGAATTCCTGGAGCTGGAGTTACAAGTGACTGGAGGATGTCCATGTGCGTGCTGAGAACCAAGCTCAGATCCTCTGCAAGAACAGTAAGTGCTCTTAACCACTGAGCCATCTCTCTAGCCCCTGCATGTCTGCTTTATGATGTTTTCCTGGCAAGATGATCACCAGAGTCCCAATACCCTCAAGTTTGCCCCAGTCTGTATTATAAATTATATGATCAACTTACTCCAGCACATCCCTGTACCTGCATATTACATGATGCATAATTTATTAGACACTTTAATAGCTTCTGTTTTATTATATTTTTAATATTTATTTTTATTTTTTATGTGTATGAGCATATTGCCTGAATGTATGAAAGTGCACCCATGTTGTGCAATGCCTGCAGAGGTCAGAAGAGGGCATTGGATTCCCCTGGAACTGTAGTTACAGATGGTTGTTAGCTGCCATGTGGATGCTGGGAATCCAACCCGGGTACTCTGCAAGAGCAGCCAGTGCTCTCAACTGCTAAGCCATGTCTCCAGCCCCCATTTCATTTTATTTTTAAGCCATACCACAACCTATTAAATTCAGTTCATGATCTTCTAATGGGTCTTGGTCTTCAGTTCTTTCTGGTTACTCTGGAAAATGTCCCTTCAGGATTTTCTTCAATAGAACGCACTACTGTGATGCTATACTATGCATTTTACAAGGGATACTGGGGCTAGAGATGCAGTTTTCTGAGGGGGTTAGATATAAAGCATTACTATCCCAAGTGAACTTCCACCTCTGAGGACTGTGTAAACTTGCTTGCTGCTGTGCTAATAGTTATGGACTCACTGTGTATTACCTTACTGTGATGAGCACAAGAATTTAATTAGACTTCTAACAGTTTTAGATTTCCAGGGGAAAAAAAAAACAATTCTGTTTATTGGGGCCCTAGCTTATTCATTAAAATAAATTACCTTTGGGTTTTGGGCTGGCTTTCATAAAGGAAAAGTTGGCTGTTATTAAGAGGAACAGACCCCATAGACAGTAACATCTCTAAAGGAAAGTTCAACTTAGCAAAATCACGATGAGGAGAGGCAATTACTGCTGAAAACTTTGCCCCTGTTTTGATCATCTCCATGGTGCCCAAACCCCTAGAGCCTCCTCATAGCGCTGTGGGGCCATGGGGGATACATAGCCCAGCTGAGCTCAGAGTATTGGGGTTTCCTTGGAGCTAGACTGTTCCAGGCGGCTCCCAGTAGAATGTTGTCATAGGGATGATCATGTATATTTGTACATTCCAGAACCCTGCCCACCACACTGCTGTCAGGAGATGAGCACATTTTATACAAAAGTGACCCTGGAAATAACAGCTCCAGTGATTTGCCCCAAGTTAGACAGTTCCCACCCTGGCATCAAGCTTGTGCCTACTGGTTGCATATGAGAACACATTTTTTTTTTTTTTTTTTTTTTTGTGTGTGTGTGTGTGTGTGTGTGTGTGTGTGTATGTGCAATGCTGGGGTTGAACAGAGGGTCTTGCGCATATTAAGAAAACACCTCTGAGTTACATGCATAGCACAAAGACACATTTTTTTTGTGTGTGTGTGTGTGTGTGTGTGTGTGTTCATGCATGCATGTGTTTGTGCATGCTCACACATGAAGGCCAGAGATAAATATCTGGTGTTTCCTCAATCATTCTTCACCTTATTTTTTTATTTATTATTTTATTTTATATGTATGCGTGTATTGCCTTGAATGCAAGCAAGTGCACTCATGTCATGCAATGCCCATGGAGGACAGAAAAGGCTGTTAGATCCCTGGAACTGGAATTACAGACAGTTGTTAGCTGCCACATGGGTGCTGGGATATGAACCTGGGTCTTCTGCAAGAACAGTCAGTGTTCTTAACTGCTGCGCCATTTCTCCAGCCTTCCCTCACCTTATTTTTAAAAGCTTTTTTTATTGTTTGAGAATTTTATATATGCACACAATGTATTTTGATCAACTATACCCCCTAATTTGGATCAACTAATTTCCTCCTCTCCAGTTCCTGGCCTATCTCCCTCCCACTTTCTCTTCCAAATTTCATGTGTTCTTTTTAAACCCATGGAGTCCACTTAGCACTGCCATATGTGTGTAGGACCATCTACTGGAGCATGGGCAGCCTCTCAGGTGCTATATCCCTAAAGAACACTGAGTTTTCTCCTCCAGCAGCCATCAGTTGCCAATAGTTTCTCAGCTAGGAATGGGACTTCATGAGCCCCTTTCCTATCCATGATGGGGTTTTGACTGGCTTGATCTTGTGCATGTCTTGTGCATGCTGCCACAGCTACTGTGAGTTCATGTATGCAACCTCCCTGTCATGTCTGGCAAATACCATTTTGCTGCAGACATCCACTACTTCTGGCTCTTATAATATTTCTTGCCCTTCTTCTTGGATGATTCCTGAGTCTTGGGGGATGGGGTATGATATAAGTTTCCTATTGAGAGCTGAGCACTCCAGTCTCTTATTCTCTGCATGTTGACTAGTTGTGGGTCTCTGTATTAATCACAATCTACTGCAATAAAGTTTCTCCGATGAGGGTTGAGAGGTGCACTGATCTGTGGGTATAATGAGAACTTACAGGACAGTTTATTACTATATCCATTTAGCAGAATATAGTACTGGGTTTTCCCCTAGAGTTAGTCTTCCATGGGTTTTAGACCAGTTAACAGTCTGTGTGGAGGGCTTTAAGTCCAATCAGAAAGCAGCTGGTTACTCCCTTAACATCTATGCCACTATTGCATCAGTGGGCATATCTTGCCAAGCCAGTCATTATTGTAGCTCACAGAGTTTACAGCTGGGTAAGACTGTTGATTTTTCTTCTCTGGTAGTATACATAGCACCTTCCAGCACTATGAATGCTAGCCAGTAGCAATGAAGCTTCCAGGTAATTAATAACTTGACTTCTGTGGGTCCTATGACTCAAGTGTTTTCTGTCTTTAGCAATAGGGTCTTACCATCAAGATCCAGAGGGTAACCAAGAGCAATGGTAATAGCATATAATGTTTGGGGGTGTCTATGAGAACCTATTGACCAACAACTTAAAAGAGGTATCTCATATGTGGCATTGTTTTTTTTTTTTAATAGTCTACAGTGTCTGAGAGAAGCATTGTTCCCCCATTGTAGGGTAACCCCATTTAAACTCCATGTACACATATATGGAATCTTCTACAGTAGTAGGTTTCCATGTGGCATTTTCAAAGAACTTCAATCAAGTATTTGTGTAGTAGGATATAGAATTTTTGGGGGGAATATGTGTAGGAGTGCTATAGCTGGTTATATGGTAAATTTATTTCTAGCTTTTTAAGGAACCTCCACATTTATTTCCACAGTGGCTGCACCATTTTGAATTCACACTAGCAGCTTTCCCCTTTTCAACATCCACACCAGCATTTGTTGTTTTGATCTTAGCTGTTCTGACTGGGATAAGATGAAATCCCAAAGTAATTTTAATTTGTATTTCCCTGATAGCTAATGATGTTGAATATTTTTAAAATGATGTCTCAGCACATTTATGTTTCTTCTT